TTCCTTTGTAAGTGATTCCAATTGAACTTACAGTACGTATATGGGGCATGTCAATATTCAGCCCCAATTAAAAAGAATACCAGGCTGATTTATAAGTATTACCTCAGATTTACATGCAACACACTTCTTACAAATGGCAAAATCAATTGTCCCTTAATTAAGGCTCACTGTCCATTAGACAATGATTCATACTATTCTTCAGCAGTTATCTACATTTTTTCTCATACAAAAGAACAATTATTTATACACACTGCATATGGAGAAAACAGCATATTGTGATGAATGTACTAATAGGCAAAATTGAAATAATTACTGTTCAAAGCCTATTAATATGATTACTACTAGTTCTTTGAATCAAAACATGATTGATCATTTCTAAAATACTAGCCCTCTTTATTGGAATTTAGCAGAACTGAAAAAATGAAAAAGTTAAACACACTAAATTGGTCATAGGGAACTTCAAGCTTTGAATTCTATCTGAACCCAGATATCTCAATTAAGAAGACAGCTTTTTTTAGTCACTTATCATTTAGGACAGGGACAATTTGTGTCCCATAGGGCTGTAGCCAAATAAGCTTTAAAGGTTGTTTTAAACTGTCAGCACTTTACAAATTGAATAAGGCGCTAAACTGCTCTAGGTAAGCAAATAATTAGCTACATTATTCTATTAAAAGGGGTAAAAAATCCTGAATAAGCTCATTTCTATATTCCCAAATTCAATTTAAATATAGGAAACGTGCAGGATTGTACAGCCCAAGACATTAAGATGATCATCCATGCAATAAGGAGTTCTAGCCATTATATGTGGGTAGAGTTAATACAAGATCTGTTTCCTATTTTTATTAATAAAACATGGACAATTTAAAAACATTTTAGTGTTCAAGAATTTTGATATGTTTAATGATAACTGATTTATTATTCCATTATAGATTAGCACTGCGTGAATTAATGCAACATTAACACCCTTTTGTTTTCTTCTTGCACATTTGCTTACATTTTTAAATTCAAGAATAAAAACATTGAACATAAAGGGAAATGAGACCTTGGAAGTATCTGGACTACAAACAGCAGCTCTTTTCTGAACAGAGCATATCTCATGAGTACTGTACGATACATTTGAAAATTTAAAATTGTTAAACATGTATCATCCAGTGACTGAAAACAGAATAAAATTGGAGGTAGCCGATATCTCTGGTTTCTAGATAAGGCGGAAAAAATTATAAAATATTTGTTGGTCATAATCCAAAGAAACTGAATGTACAAGTAATGCGCTATGCTGTGGAAAAGATGGGCCTTGGCACAAACATATTTGTTATAACATGTCTGCCAACAAATGTACAAAAGTACTCAGTATGGACTGCACAGCACAAGCTTGATAGTTATTACTTGAATGATAATTATTATAGCAAATCTGTACAGATAGATAAAAGTCTAAATATGTATAGAAGGTGTACTATATTTAAAAGACCACATCCTCATGAGATTTCAGAAGATTGTTGAACAGCTATAAAATGAATGAAAGATACTTTTTTATAACTTAACTACCTAGTCCAAAAGCAGTAGTAGTCTCTGTTAGAAACTTAATAATTGCCTCATCACATTTACTCCTTCTGCAGTTCCTTGGGGAAGGTCATTAAAAATGATGCCATTTTTATATATAATACATTAGCACAGTGCATTTAGAGCCATGTGTAAAAGCATGTGCAAGTTGAAGTTTATTTTCTTTAATTGCAGTGGTATGTGGTCCTAAGGATTGGGGACATTATTTTGCACAGAAACTTTAATATTTTTCAGGCATTATGTATTATGCTTTATTTTATTTATCTGTCTCTTTTGTGCAACATAGGAGAAATAAATGTAATGTAAAATGGGCTTGCATGCCATGCAAACATCTACATTTTGAGGTGAGCTAGGGATTGCCGACCCCTGTACTAGAAAATAGCATGCTTCTCTGCGATGGTCTGTAAGCCAAAAATAGTGCTATTGTTGGGAAGACATCTTTTATTTGGTTCTTGTAAGCTGTATCACCATTAAAACTGTCTCAAAGAAAGAGCAAAAAGTGGGTCCACTGAATTTTCCTGTGATGGTCTAATGCTGTTTGACACACATCCCAGTCAATGGTGAAAAGAAACAGGAAAATAATTTGGGCCTGCTGCACTCAAGACTTCACTTCAAACCACTAAGTGTATTGAAATAGGGAAGGACTGCACAGAAGATGTTGCTTGTCTTAGAAAGGAGTGTGAGTTCTCAGTTGTCAAAGTTACAGTTTTGGCAGTTAAATAATGGTGTTTTTACTCCAGGCTTCTGGTATGACTTTGCCACTTTTCTATGAAATTGAGGGCTACAATAGACAGGTTGGTATCAATGTCAACAATGTCATTGAAAAGATTAGCTGGACCATCAGTTACAATTTAGAACCTCTGCAAAGTGCAGGAAGCATCTTTTAGCTTGTTCTCTTTCTAGTGTTATTAATCTTTTCTTATTTATTCTCTGCCGGCGTGGTATGATTAATATTATACACTAGAACTGAATAGTGATTTTATATACGAGATTACATTTTGCTCCTGCTTTAGCCAGGTTTGCCACTCTTGCAAATTCCTGGACAAAGGCTCTCTTATCTTGTTTTACACTTTTCTCTGCTTACCTTCTATTGGTTTTCAGCCTGTTCAATCAGCCTGGTTGGTTTAGTATTCAGTTTTCCTAAGCCATCTCTTTTCTCCTTCCACATTTCGATTGTAAACCACTGCTTGTCCTTTCTCAATTACTTCCTTAGCTTTTTGTGTATGTTCATTTTGTTTAAGATGTCTTGATATTCTACATTGGCTAATACACTGAAGTGATTCCTGACCTTGATGATAACATATCCTTCTTCAGATCAACAGAACTGAGCTTGGCAATGTCAAAGACCCATTGCCTTTGGTGGTTGGTACAGATCAGCAGTAATTTCAACTTGACCATAGCGATCATCAGGTAAGACATCATTGTTGACATCTGCACCTCAGTGATTAAAAGACATACACTATTTGAACTTATTTATGGTTATACACTGCAGTTAGATATTTAAAAGATTCAGCCAGAGTTAATTCAAAATTAATGTAATTCAAAATGTTACTCTCTATAAGTTATGTATTTTAACTGTCCTGCTTAGTAACTAATGTGTCATTTCTTTTGGTTTACAACTGGGAATACAAGGTACTTGCACTTCTTTCACTGCTCTGTACTTCACTTTGAATTCATTTATATGAAGTTGTATTAATTTAAAATCTTATCAGTGCTATAAAATATCAACTACAATGTTCATGATCATTCCCCTTAAATGTGTACTGTGTTCAGCTACAGTAAGTAACCGCATGCATTGGCCTCTTTCTTTGTCTGACATGTCAACACCTTGAAAGTAGAGATTGCAAATTCTTGGCATACTGCCTGCAAATGTTGCCAACCCCTCCTCTAGTATATGAGCTTAATCATAATGAATCCTTTTAAGTAAACCAATAATCCAATGGCTACATTGTATTTGTACTGTATGCCTTATTATAAAATTAAATATTATGTTTCAGTTTTAAGAAAACTTAGTTTCAAGTCAAATTTCTGAATCTTAACATGTAAAAGTATGGTTTCTTTTAGGCACCAGTTGCAAAGGTATGTATTAATGATTAATCAATAACATGACTTGTAAAACAGGAAAATGTGTTATATTACACAGCAATATCACAGAAAATAATCATGGATAACCAATCATAAGTAACATTCACAACAAGGTGGGAAGGATTAGCTTTTGAACCAGAGGTCAAAAGCACAAGAATGCAGGTCAATTAAATCAAAAGCATTAAATCCTAAGGTCTCATACTACATACAGTAAACATGTCACAGTAGTGAAAGATTTCAGTATTCCAGGTATTTCACAAAGATGAACATGGGATTCACAACCTTAGATATGCAAAAAAAAAAAACAGAAATATCACAATGTACCTGCTGCAGAACAACCAGATCTTCAGCTAACAAAGACTGGACAGTGTTAATTCTGACTGTGATCAATGACCTCTTGTGACAGATCCCTCGGTAATGCTGACTCATTAGGTTAAAATCAATAGCAGTAAGCCAAACACTGTTTGTTTATTTTGTTTCTAATTTAGTCGAAGTTGTAACAAATCACCAAATACATAAATCAGTAGTAATCATCATACTCATCAGAAGATTTATTATAAGGCAAAAAAATAACCTAAATATATTGTTCTTTTTACCCAATATGACCATACTTTACAAGTGAATGAATGACTTCACAATTCAGATAATTAATGTGTACAAAAGCATGAAGTAATGTATTCACAAACACTAAATACATATTTAAAATAACAGCTACTTCAGTAGAACACTATTTTATTGTTGTTACAGTGGTAAAATGTTCATTTATTTTTAAGAAAGTCACTAGAATTGTTTAGAATGGGAATACAAACAATTCCCACTGCTAGAATTCCAGCTGTTATTTCAGTTTTATTTATAAATTGAAGGATATAACACAAAACATCACATCTTTATGTATTGCAGTGGAACCATATGGCTCAGACATGATCACTAACAATTAAATTAGACTGCAATAGTGTGTGACAAACTCCTATTCTATGACATTCTTTTAACTCTAAATTCTAAAAAGCTTTTAATTCTAAAATGAATGAGTGTAAACTTTGCAGTAAACTATATGAATATGGCTATAAGTGAAGTGCTACATAAACAATTGAAAATAAAGCAAAAAATGAGTGCATGGGGAGACCAGAATAAGCTTTAACTACTGTATCTACTGTGGAAACAATATGACATCCTGGTGTTAGGCATCCTGGAACGGAAATTACATGCAGTCTGAGATAACGATATAATTTGGTTCACAACAAGTACCCAGATCAAATGCACAACAGAAAAAAATCCAATGAATCTACAAGATGTAAGGTGAAAATAAAACCCTTTGTGCAGCTGCCAAAATGTTCCAGGAAAGCAAAACAACTCACCCAGAGCCTGGGATGCAAAGAAAGCCATAGCACTTTGAAGTCTGTCTGGTCGGATTGCTTGGACAGTGAGGACCTTTTATGAAAAGGAACAGGAAGAACAAACAAAAACATTTTCTAAACTCTTATAGAACCTGTGAATCGATTCTCTGTCAAAAATACTTGTCAAGAAACTTCCTTGAGGGAACTATTAAATTTAACTTTTGCCAAGGGCATCCAAGTGGCTCAGCCAGTAAATGAGCCTGTTTAGACAACAGGTCAAATCCTATACTGGACAAGAATTTTCAGTGACAGTGAAAGACACACCCCTCCAACAATCTATGCCAACTCAATTAGAGAATGTGGAGCTTGCGTATTCTCCCTGTGTTGGGAGTGGTTTTCACTGGGTGCTCTGGTTTCCTCCCAAAGTCCATAGACATACTTGCAGGTTAAGTGGCTTCAGGGAAAATTGGCCTGGTGTTTGTGTCTACACTCGTGTCTGTGTCTGCCCTCTGTGTTTGGCGTATGAGTTTGTGTCTGAGTCTGCCCTGAAATGGACTGACATCCTGTCCATGGTCTAAGCTGCCTTGCACCCATTGCTCAAAAATGAAAAGGTGCGACAGGTGAGCATGCTGGAGAAGCATATCTGCAGGTCTTCATTCCATGTGTAGTATATAAGACTAAGCTGTAAAGCCAAGTCTTAAATAACTGACAATTCTAAATTGAGTGGGTGTATCATAAAAACATAATCGTATATAATCAGCATTTCAAACCTTTAAAATCAGTCTTAAAATTTAAGACTCACCTGCTGAAACGGTGATATTTTCTTTACAACAGAAGGTGGGAAGTCCTGTTCACAGGCTGAACTGCAGGAGAATGTAACCCAGAGATCTGCATCATCCAGACATAAATTCTGATACAAGGATGGGAAAGTGTTCTGAAACAGAGTTTGAAAAAAAAAATGAGATGCATACAATTCAGAAATATGCAATTAAATATTTACAATCAAAAACTGATTGGAATTCAGGACCTGGGACTGAGATGTTATTCTGTTAACCTTCAGAAAACAAACCAGCCAAAAACCTTCAGAAAATTAAAGCCTAAAAAATGCTATCAAAACCTTCCAAGACAAACTTTCAATCATGCAGTCAAAGTCCATGACTGAGGAAAAAAAAAACTACACAAAAGCAAGCTTATCCTGCTACATCAGTTAAATTGTAGCAAAGTAAAAGACTTTTTTTAGAACAAAAGAACATGAAGGCATAAGATAAGGCTTTAGGAATTTTATTTTTTGCTTGAATGCAGAAAGTAGTGGTAGAATTAGATTCAATGTATAGACTTCTAAAAATAGTTCTAAAATAACATTTTACTTTTTGCAATTAATTAGCATTTCTTGGTATTTGGAGTCTAAAGATTCAAGCTATTAAAAAAGAGGATCATTCCTTATGAAAAACAGTGTAGAAATCCTTTGTGCATTTCTGCGTTGATCTGTCAACTCTCAGAAGCCCTATAAATACCAATCTTATGCACCTGCAAGCTAATAAAGGTCTCTAAGGTGCTTTTTTAGTGTTCCCCCACCTCGCAACAGCTGGAGCAGAAACTGAGCAGTTTATATTTTTATATTCCCAGAAAGAAATGGTGCCAGAAAAATTGGATGTGCAACTGTATGGTGAAGATGCTATCAGGGTTTGACAGACCATCAAGACAGCATACTAAATTAATAAAACACAAAAATTACACTTCATACTAAAGCTTTTTAAAATTTTATTTAATATTTGTTGGTATCAAAATGTAACAATACATCTTTCTGCAAATATATATATGAAGTGGTAAACTGATTGTGAACATTTTTAGATGTGATCTTCTCCCCAGACATTTTTATACTACCAAAGGAGAACATTTTAAAAAGCAGCTTGTGCAATATAAATTTGTCTTACAGATCTCACATTTTTACAAGAGTTCCTTTTCATATTGGTGATAAAATAAACACAAATATGAAAACAGACGGAAGCTTTCCATAAAACTGAGAAATTCTTTCCAGGGCCATATTCCAGCTGTTGACCTTCAGATAAGAATCACTACAGCTATGAGTTAACCTCTGAAGACAGGCCAAAAAATGTCAGGACAGCAGCAAAAACATTCTATTTCTTGTCAGAGACTTTCAGTGAGACAACAAGGAAGATGAAATCCAATTGTCACTTTTCTTATCAGTGCTGATTTTCAATAACTTGTTTAAAAATTAGACACAAAGGGACACAATTAGTCACATAGTTATTGTGGTATTGACTAGTATTAGTTCTTTAGCGATACCATGCACATACTAAATCGCAGGATTAGACTGCAAGCATCTTAATCAAATATCTTTTACTGAGATTAACCTCATTACTCACATCTGAATTTAAACCTCAACCTGCATCTATATTTTAATATGCTGGGGCAGGACTATTCAGGGGGCAGAATTGTCAATGTGAGACTTCCAAAGTTAAATATACATTTATAGTTGCAATCACAGCTACCAGGAACACCATTATTTTTGTACCAATGTACTGTACAGTGTGTTACTTTAAGACTGTTAGCATACCAATTCCTTACATTCGCTAATTTAAAACTAAAATTTTCTGAAAGCAAATTAACTCCTAGAACGATGTGGATAATTAACACTGTTTTACACTTAAACACAAGTTTCCATTTGCACGCAAATGCGTCAATTAGTTGCAAATATCATAGACTTTACATCAAGTTAACACAACTTTGAATTTAATAAAATATGCATAACAAATTGGTGTTAAAATACTAATTCATTTGTAAGTAACAAACATTTCCATTTGAAATACCAAATTGAAATTGACTGATAAATAAAATAGATAATAATCATAATATAATGGAAGAACAATGTAGTAGCCTTTTTTACCTGATTGACACTTTCAAAGTATACTTGCAAAATAATAGTTTTTGCTGTTCCAGTTTCAGTACCTTGAATAATGCCACTGCTCCTACTCTGTCCTGGTCAATCCATGATGGGATCTGTTCTCTCAGAGATTTGTGTGTATCCTTAACACAGCAAGAAACAAAACAAAAAGAAATATGTTGGATAAAACTTTTTGCTCCTTATCAGTTTATGCAATTATTGCATCTTTTATCAGTCACAAAGATCATTTCTTCATTGGTTGTATTGCAACAATGATTATTTGTAAGAATATGTTTGGACAGACTACAATGCAAAATATAACAGTTAAAAAATAAAACTCAGGTAAGCAGTACTGTACATACTGTTTTTCTGATCGTATCACCAACAATCAATCCTGTGAAGGCATCCCATTCCTAAATGAAAAAAAAAAGTTTTAAAGACCAAGGTGCTTTTATTTGCAGTTTTTGTCTGTAGTTAAATTTTTAAATTGTTTTCTGCAGTTAAATTGCATAGGATACATTATGAGTGAAGATATGCTTGGGAATAAAAATGTGTTAGTCTACTTAGTGGTACAGCAATCTCAGCTATCATGAAATACTGAGATGCTGGTCATCGTCCTTGTATTATTACTGATACTATTGATAAGAGTGACTACCATTGAAAATCTATTCCACTCAATAGGAACAATTACATGGTTGTAAAAGGTTCCTGTGTTGTGCATTAATGAAGTGAGCAACATGAAATGGACTAGAATTGCTTATGTACCCATCACATTGTACTTACATTTTCTTGGAAAAGCTCAGGATGCATCCCTTTCACAAAGTGTAGAGCAAACATGAGTTGATCTGCCTGCGAGACACAAATGTAGTACACTGAAGTAGGGCTGGGCGATATACCGAATAATTTCGCTTATGTCGGTATGTTCGGTGAAAACGTTCCCCACTGTGTACTTTAATGAGCGGTCCCCTTAAAAAACTACAACACCCAGTCCTCATATCCAGTCACATGCTTCTGCCTCGTCCAACCTTTATAGTATTTACCACATGCTACTAAAAACCAGGTTGTGTGTAATGAGACTGCAACCCTACATTTACCAACACCTGCTTAATACACTGGAAAGCACTACAATATACCTGTTGTGTTTGTTGTCTGTACACCAACAATTGTTGATCAATATTAAAAAAATGACTGGTTCAAATACAGTAGGTACCTAATATACGTTTGTCCAGAGATTTGACTGTGGCAAATTCAGTAAATTAATTGCTATAATTGTCCTTCATTACAGGATTAAAGGAGACATGACCCAAGACCCATGACCCATGACTCCAGAAGGAATCAACAACCTGAAGGCCTTTTTAGTATGGTTAAGCAAGCATGACCCCACACAAAAAGGAAATGAATTGGAGAGATCCTGCCCTTTTGGTCAAAGTAGATAAGCAACAATAGCTACTAATCAAGATTGTTATCTGTTTGCATGCCAGTGTTATCTTGCCAATCCAATTAAATCAGTGAAATGGAGAAATTCCTTTATAATGTACCAGTGTTCACCATTAAAAGCACAAACTCACTTCACTGCAGGTAGTTTCTGCATGTTAAGGCATTTTTTAAAATAATGGATTCATTTTCTTTATGTCCGCAGTATCAGAGTAACATTTTTTTTTAAAGAGATAAAGAGCTCTAAACACTACAGTATTATTATCCGACCAAATCTTTTTCCATACAGGAGTTTGTCTACTCTATTGCCTCAAAATATTCTTGTGATACGGTATATTATAGATTTCTTCATTGTTATAACATGGCAATTAAAGTGTATTAAATAAAACAAAAACATTACCAAATTTAATATATATATTTACAAATACTGCATTCTTAAAATCACAGTAATCATAAACTGTGAAATCTCTGTCTTATGAGAGTTAAATCCTCATATCATTAACATTCAATTCCAAAACTACGTTTAAAAAATCCCTCTAAAAAATGGAAACAAGCTTTAACTAGCTTTAAATGTCATTTCTTGATTTACACCATTGCAAATAAAGCCTTCTGTAGTTCAGTTAGGAAGACTTTGATCTGGCACAAAGTAAGGGCACTGCAACATTAACACAAAGCTTACAGTGTCAACGAGTTCAAATATCACTCAGTTCTCACTCACAGATCTGATTCATTTGAAAGACAGAGAGAGAGAGAGAACGATCAACAGAGGAAGTCAACAGCTGGGTTTTCCGCAACTTGTTGAGCTTTGGAAGTCTCCCTTTGTCAAATACATCAACAGTACTGATTAAGTGAAATCTCTCCAGCTGTATGACATCAGGGTTGCCAGGCATCAAGAGATGTCTGAGCAGCACAAAGCCCACGTCTCTTGTATAATGCCAACGTTCCAGTTTGCCTGTTTTGCTTTTCATGGTGAAAGATAGGAGCACTTATAACTTGACTGTCTCTTACAAAAATATTCTAAAATCAAGGGACATACCTTTTGCATAATTCATGTTTCCTCATAGATAAATTAAGTCTATGGCAACAATAATTTGACAGAAAAGAGTGCTTAAAATGCAACTGTGACAACAAAACAAAAACAATGGGAGAGAATATAATAAGAGAAGAGACAAATATTGCAATTATTTGTTCAAGAATGATGTAGGCATTTCAAGAGCAAATTTCATTCACAACATCAACTATCCAATAGATTTGGGGATCTACCCCCATTAACCTCAAGCAAGACATGTCTCCTGCTGAAAAAAAATAGCCTTCTAAACTTTAACTTTTAAAAGATCTTATTTCTTTCACCAATGGACTTAGTGCTATTTTTGTAAAAGCCCAGCCCCGGGAAAGTGTTGAAAAAGCAGTATTCCAACACGCAATAGCCTCAGGAATTGCTTTGTCAGTGCATACAAGAACTGAACATGGGATAATGTTATGACTGATGATTTGAAACATGTTTACAGATCAAATATATCATTAAACAAATATATCTTGGTGAATGCACTTTCCCATCCATCACTCTTTTCCATCATACCTGAAGAGTCACCAATTTGGTTATCAATGGAAAAAAAATATATACACTTCAGATTAATATACATTTTTACACTAAAAGTCCTATGAGAAATCCAGTCCCTATTAATATTAGGACAGTCATCCTGCAGCATGGTATATTTGCAGTAACTATTCTTTTTTTCCCGTATATAATTAAACAATATTTTACAAAACACTAGCAGAGCACTGGCAGTACTGCTTCCATCTTTCACTACCAGGGTTCAAGTACAGTACAGTTTCTGGCCATGTGGAAATTCATTTGCTGATTTAAGCCAAATATGTCTGTAGAAAACACTTAAAATAACTTAGACCTCAAAACTGAAAACCTAAAAGATTGCTTTGTCAGATACACACACAGAAAAGCACACAAAAAGAAAAATTAAGTTAATGAAAAATAACATCACAATGAAAAGAAAATGGTTTAAACAAAACTTTGCAGTGCTACTATTTGCACAATTTGTACTCTACAAAATTGAATTCAGTTACTGTTTATAACTACTATGCTAACATCTTCAAATGTAGCATAGTGTGAACATTAATCCGGCTTTAAAAAAATCATTTCCTTTTCAGTGACTCAGAATTTAATACTGTTTTGATTTTCTTAACTGAAAGGTTCATGTAGAGATGTTTTTAATGTTAAACATACCAACAATAAAGTAATATTATGATGAACAATAATACAGCCCTGAGAGAAGATCATTGTTAGATACTAAACAATTAGTCCAGGTTGGTAGCTGCATCAGTTTATTCCAGGCTGAAAAGAGAAGAAAGAAAACATTACATTTCGGCTGTTGAGCCTTCTTCAGGTGTGAGAAAGACAGGACAGACAGCAAAGATTAAAAAGCATAGGAGAACAAAAGCTGGGAGAGTGGAGGACGTGAGAGCAGGGGAGAGGGAAAGAGGCCACTCAGGATAGCCTTTCCTTTGTACAGGCTGATCCCTCCACTGGGGCCCTCTTTTCTGACCACCCCATCATCTCATACTGCCGATCACCTAATCTGCGTACCCTTCTTGTTCACAGCTCCTTTGACCGCCCTCAACAACCATCCACAGCAGGCACTTTCCCCTGAAACAGCAACATCATTTACTGTATCTCTTGCAGGATATGCCCAGCTATCTACGTTGGGGAAACTGGAAGGGAATTAGGAGACCGCTTCAGAGAACATGTTAAAGATTTCTCCCAAGATTTCTCCGGCCATGATCACACTGATCTCTCCACCTGCGTTCTCAAAGAAGGGTTTCTTTGGTCCCATAGCAGAAAGACATCAGAAACAAGTTATCCTGAAACTTGGTTCACACCTTCCCCCTTCTCTCAATGACAAACTTGTTTCCGTGTTATCTTCTCTGTTCACATGCAGGTTTAGACTTCACCCCTCTCTTCACCTCTCTCCACTAGACACCACCTGAGTGGCCTCTCTGCCTCTCCCCTGCTCCCACCTCTTCCACTCTCCCAGCTTTTGTTCTCCTGTGCTTTTTAATCTTTGCTGTCTGCTCGGTCTTTCACACACCCAAAGAAGGCTCCACAGCTGAAACGTTGTGTTTTCTTCTCTTTTCAGAATGGAATAAACCTATTATGTGTTCTTCTAAACAATTACTTCACCTCCAGAGTTCCAGAATTTCAAAGGATTGGTTTTTCCTCATTTTACTCTGCTTACTCTTTGAACTATAAATCAGATCTGGGAAGCATGCTATAGATTCAAATATCATTGAAAAGCATTCAGAAGAAATTTCTGCATTTCACCTACTTGTGACTAACTTCAGTGCTGTATTTTGAAGGGACATTGGTAATGTTGAACAAGCAAATTTACCATGAAGTGTGATGCACTATGAGGAGAAATTTGCTGAGAAAAGGAAAAACAAGCTGTTCTATCATCCAGGCACTAAAAAGAAACTGGTTTAACCAGAACGAGGATTATACAGAAATCAGTAATCTGTGGGTTAGGCTTCAGCATTTTAATTATATAGTTAAATACTCCCTCTTTCAGGCCTTGATGAACAGCATAGTAAATTCTAACACTTTAAGAATGATTACAGCTCCATCAGTCATAAGGCAACACATTATCATACATACAGTTTAAAATAAATGTCTAACTTCTATGTCTCTTTATTAGATGTGTTTATACACGATTAAAACAAAGTCATTCTTATACTACAAAATAAGTTAAAAGGAGGGATTATTAATTTGAAGTTAAAATGTTTAATGGTTATAGAGAGAACTGATCCATACTATCTGATATTTTCTTGGTGTCTTTAATAAGTGTTTGTTTTAGTTTGGTTTGAGAGTGAAAAAACTTCAAAGCACATCCAATCCAAATCCATGAAATGCACGAGTCTGTATGACTGCACCACATTTGCAAAATGCTGTAAATTTTATTTTGTCTTTTTAAATAAAAAATATACTATCACACATATGTGAATTTAAGAACATACCAAATAGTGTCAAGACATATCATAATTATGTCTAAGACTTAAAATAAAATGTGCATTAAACAGTAAGCCTTAAATGGTTATACAACGAAAAGCAATATTTCTGTTGGATTAAAAGAGATGTACAGTATTCACAAGCCTGCTTGTTTACAATGTAACAGGGACAGTTCATGTCACTGGAGGTTCTGTTGCCTCGTTCTAAATCACAGATAATGATAGCAATATCGCGCTGTGCATACCTGGAAATTTGGTCAAATTGAAGGTATTACACGTGCTAGGTACATTTTATTTGAATTGTGGTTTGAAATGCACTCACCAATGCCAATTCTTTTATAACCTCAAATTACTGTATTAAAATAGTGCTGCAGTTCCCCTTTAAGGGACATATGTAA